AGGGGACTCATGAGTACCTTGTGAACATGAGAATCTGAGGGTTTAACACTCCACACAGACCCCTGCCTGGTACTACTTCTGTACTTACTGGATCTGTGGCCTTAGGTGAATGAGTTAACATCCCCAGTTATGGCGATGCCTCAGTTAGGCAGAGGTAGGTTAGCAGTCAAGCCAACTCATCGGGTGGTTTTGGGGCTTACCCAAGATTATTCATATGGAAGTGGTTAACAGAGCCTGTAATGGTAAGTGCCCAATTAATGCCAGCAGTGGTTGTAAAAAATCCAGTGCCCAAAACAGGAGGCAAAAATGACGGTCCTACTGACTGCCTTGTAGGTAACAAAATGTTTACACAGGCAGGAATTGGTAACATTAAGATGAAGCTACCAACAACCCAGCCACCCTACCCAGATGTGTTTATCCCTCCAAATGTTTGAGAGGCTCTGACCCTGCAGAGCACTTGAACCAGATCTGGCCCATCTTCTTGGACTTACAGTTCAAGACAGACAAGATTAGGCCCAGAGCCAACGTAAACATTGGAATGGGCCCTGAATCACTCTCCTGATTAGATCAGCAAACACACCAGGGCCATGTAGGACACATTTACCAAGGACAGAGGCAGATATGAATCAGGTCAACCTCAGGCCCTGCCCAGCAGAGGTTTGTGGCCAGAAGGAACAGAAAGAGCACTGGATTGGGCTCACCAACTTCTAGCAAAATCCGTGCCAGTGGCTGACAAGAGAGGCCAAATGAAGTTCCAGAAGAAGGGCAGCAATAACGCTGAACCTTTCTGAGTACTTAACCAGCAGTGTTCTGAGGCACTATAGGCTTTAACTAATTGTACCCTGTCAACAACCTGTAAGGTACAGACTAGTATTAATCTCACATTACAGACAGTGAAACTGAGGCTTGGAAACCTTGTTACTTGTCGCAACTCATCATACTGCTGGTAACTGGAATTTGGTTGAGTACCTCTCACATCATCTGTGACTGTAACTCTCATTCACAGCTCTCCTGCTGTCTGTCCATCTTGTCTGTCTAGAGCTATCTGTGCTGCACAGAGGAGAAAAGGGTGGGCTTGACAGGCAGGCAGCAAAGGGCCCAGCCTACCTTGGGAGGTATAGATTTCAGACCCTGCCTGAGGGAAGGCTTCTCATCTTATTCAGTCTCAGCTACAAGCAAGTGGTGACTCTGGAATGCCTATTCCAACCCTGAGAAACAGAAACACGAAATTCAAAGGATGAAATCAAATTAGCAGCTTATCATGACAAGTACCAAGACAGGCACATGGATATAGATGAGCATTCTTTGGTGGCTCCTCCTCTGTTGTTCTCAGAAGCCTTTTAAACCCTCAATTTGTCAATCAGCCTCTCCTTTCAGAGAGGCGATGTCTCTGTGTGTGCCGAGACCCATGCAGAGGCAAACATGGAGTCTATGATCTCCTGTCCTAGCCCTGAATTCTCGAGTACAGTCTCCTGGCTGCCTCCCTGAGATCCTGCTAGTACAGTCTCCTGGCTGCTCTTGCCCTGAGATCCTGCTGACTCATGTCTTTTCTCATTCAGCCCCTGCCTTGTCTTTGGAACCCCAACCCATGCTGCTCTGTCCACAGTGTCCTATGTGGCTGAGGGGCCCATTGAAATCAACCCATTTGCAAACAGGCCCTCTTCATTCCTGAACTTGCAGATGGTTCTTAGCCAAATGCAAGAGAAGTTTTAATAAGAAAGTTTTAAATCTAAATTCAAGTCTATAGAATATGAAACACCAAAAGTGAATAGTAATGTAAAGTATGGACTTTTGGGTGATTCTGGTGTGTCAGTGTTGGTTCACTGATTATAACAAATGTCCAACTCCAATGGCATATACTGAGAATGGGAGAAGCTTAGGGAGAGAGGAGAGAAGAAAGGGTATATGGGAAATCTAGCACCTTCCCCTCATTTTGCTGTGAACATAAAACTGCTTTTAAAACATTTTAATAAATTTTCAAAATCTAAAGAATAATTTTCAAATGGTTGAAAAAAAATCCTGGATTCTGGCTTAGGGAATTTTTTTCTTTTTCTTTTTTTTTGATTTTGGTTCTGAGACATTTTGGCTTCCTTGAAACCATACCAGATGAATAATAATCTTCTCTACCTATGGATACATCTCTGATATGGTATATGAGATCTTATGTACACACATAGAACATGTGCATAAGGTTATATATGAATAAGTACTGGAAGCATACAAAAGAGATAAGATAATGACTACATTTGGGGAGGGAAACTGAGAATCAAGTAAAGCAGGGACACTTACTTAAATGAGATTAACTTCTCATCCTTATGAGCTTTATACACTACCTGCTCTTTCAAATTCAACAGTAGTCAATAATAACAGCAACACCAAAATGTGGACTTAGTGAGAGAAATAAGGTTCTGGTCATATGCTCACCCCAAAGTGGTTCATCAAATCAGCTCCTCCCCCTTCTAAGTGCAGTGCACACCTGTCAACAAGGAGAAGCTGGGCCTCCCCGGTGGCGCAGCGGTTGAGCGCTGGGTTGCAAAGCTGCCGGCGACCTCTGCGGCGCCGGTTCGATCCCCGGCTGCTCCCCGGCCACCGGAGGAGGGTCCCACATGGCGTGCAGACCTCTCCTGCCGCCCGCTGCTCCCCTCAGCAGTGTACTTTGGTCCTTCTGCCTGCTCTGCTCCCCGCTCTGGCTCTGGTGAATTCTCTCACCCTCCTGCGCTTCTGACCCAATGCATGTATAAACAAAACAAACGAACAAACAAACAAATAAATAAAAACATGCCTCTATTAAAAAAAAAAAAAACAAAACAAGGAGAAGCTACACCCTTTAGGACAAACCCAATGCATCCACCTGGATCTCTCTGCCCCCAACTACTGCTCCACTTCTGATTCCTGACCCTGAACTTGGCTCCTACTGCCAACTGCCACTTTCTGTACTGGCCAACCTAGCTGGTTCTAGGGCCAAAGCAATTGCTGCAATATACCCTCAAGCTTTTCCTTAAACTGGGTGTGTTGTGCTGACTCCTGAGATCACAGTCAGTGGATCCCACCCTGGCCTCTTTGAGGGGTCAGGACTCCAGAATTCAACTTCTCTAAAAGGCTAAGGTGACTTTGTGTTAGTTCTTCGTAACCCTGTATAAGCAAACTTGCACTTTAAGTGTAAAAGTAAACCTAAGTTTCAGGGTTCAAAACCCTGGCTCACACAGGAGAAAATCTCATGATTACCTCACAGCAAATATGGCCCAGAAATGAGTGCTTCCCCTCTGGCTCTGGCTGTTCTGTTTATGCACCACTTCTTCCCATTCAACTGGCTGTCATTATGTGAGCGCTAATAAACTGGGCAGAATCATGGACACAATATATCACTGTTCAGTGCTGTCAGAATTGGAACATAAAGACCACTTAACTCAGAACAAAATCAGGGAACCCACAAATTAGTCACCGCAGAGATGCCAAGATGCTGTTAGTCTATTCATTGCGCTCAACAGTATTACACATCTGAATGGGTTTAAGGCTCCTTGGAGGGGCACGTGATGGGTTTATTCACCACTTCTCTCGCAGGGGATGGGCCACAACTAGCTGAACACATCAGGTCAGCAGCCTCCAGGCATGTTTTTCCCTCTGTCCCTCCTTTTCCATTGCCCACTTGTCATCAGCTCCTGGAGCTGTGCCCACTCTGTCCCCAGCACCCCCTTCCCAATGCTAATGCACAGAGTAGATGTGCAGTGATTAATGGGAACCGCCACATCTTCTCCTCACTCAGAGAGTCAAGGTTTCAGGGAGTAGTCTACACCTTAGTGTTCCTGCTGTGCGGACCATGGGGAGTACACAAGGATGTGTGTGAGAGCAATTTCATTAAAAGTCCATTATGGGTTGGCTGTGCGGTGAGCCGTGCAAGCTAATGACCAGGTATTGTCAAATACTCAAAGGCCCTAGGCTTACCTCCCTGAATAGTAAAGCCACTTGCTTCCTTGGGGACAACATGTGTTTAAGTACATCTAGGATAGTGGCTTTTGAGAGTCTAATCATTCAAGTAGTACCTTGTTATCATTTCTAGGAATCATTTCGATTATTATTTAACTAACATGCTTTTGTAAATTAACTCCCCCCCCTTTTTTATTTCACTTAAGTGCCTGCTTTATGCTCATTCTAAGCAAAACTACCCACAAGGCCACAACTTTGAAGAGCTATTTATCTAATATACATCACCCAAAAATCCATGAAAATGGAAATTAAAATGTTATGTCTGTCACACCTTGATGCACTTGGAAGGAAAATAATCATTCAGAAGTCAATAGACTCCATTGTGTCTTGAACTCTATTTTCCACCACTGCTAGCAAGGAATTTTGCACATGGTAAGTGCTCAATATCAATTTGCTGATTTGATTTGATCTCAGGTGCCATTTAGCCAAACTTTACTTGTCAGGATTATGATGAAGAGGGGGAAAAAAGATATTCTAGGATCTAAGCTAATTATTTCTCTGATGTCTAGGCTTTGAAACTTGGAAGCTATTGAAAAAACATCTTAGCCCTGAACTCCTTGGTTCAATGAGAAGGGTCTAAGGAAACTGACAAAGTTATGCTCTAACTTATTCTTAGCAAAACAAGAAAGCACTCAGGAGAAAAGAGCTTGCAAAATATGAAGCAGAATTTTGCTTTAAGTGTCCTCAGGAGGAAGAGTGCTTGCAGATCCAGATCATTCAAGTAGGTGTATACATGGCAATCCACCTGGGTAGACGTCAGTGCTTCGTCACAACCTCCTCCCCTTCCAGATACAAGCGTCGAGGGCCATGCTGGAATCCCCACAGCCCACCCTTGATCAAAGCCAGTTCTTAACCAAAATGGCCAAGGAATGGGATTTCACGCAACAAGGACACAAACAAAACCAAATGGGAAGGTCGGCTTCTCACCGGAGAAACTGGACTGTACATGGAAAATTCCATGACACAGTTCAAAGGGGCATTGTGACCTAATAAATTTAGCTGCATGGGTTATTAAAGGCAACTGTAAATTCAGCCTGAGGTTTTTTTTTACTCTGTTTTTCCCACAGCTGAAACACATGTTAAAGTGGAGAAAGTTCCCAGGGAAGCTCGGTGCCTGTTTTGATCGCATCTGACATGCCATGCGCCAGGATGAAGGATGCCTCTTTAAATGACTTGTTGCCAAAGCCACAACTCCAGAAACACTTGGAATTGCTGCCGAAGGCGTCAGAGTAGGGCTTCTTAGACCTCCAGGTAAAGAAAGACCAAGAGTAATTGAATCTGCAGCCAGCCAGAGCTGGGAACATTTCCTTTGTTGGCTAGTTGTAATACCCAATATCACTAGAGAAGCCCTGTTGGGGTGTGAATAATTCATGTGCTCTTCCTCAGAGGGGCTTAGCTAGGTAGGTGTCCTGCCAAGTCAAACAATGGGGATAGAGATGTGTCTTTAGGGATTACAGCAAATCTGACTCCTACCTGATAGATTTACCTCTGTTCAGCCCCTGCTCTGCAACCTGTGTGATTCTGGGTCAGAAAACAATGTGAAAAGGCAGAGCTTGGGATTCAGAATACATTGTATACATGCAGGAGAAGCACACACAGGCTCTCTTTTATTTCTTCTTGGGCTTTTTAAGAGAGACCTTTGGCAATTGAAAAAAAAAGATTTTGAAATTCCAAAACGATGTACAAAATGGGTCTTTGTCAAATAAATCAACCAAGAAAAATAAAACCAGCGAAGAGGTTTCCCTTTTACCAAGGGCTGACTCAGATCTGTTTCTGTAGCCATGGCGGCTTCTGTATCTTCCATGCAGTCTGCAGGGATGACTATCTGGGAGGTAAAGAAGGAGGCTGCAGAGATGCATCCTCCACATTGGGTGCTATCTTCACATTCTGTCTACAAAGTACAGAAATAAGCAGGTTTTTGACTTTGCAAGCAAATCTTATCATTGAGATCTTAAAAAGATACATAGAATCAAGATACATAGAATCAAGATACATAGAATCAAGATGGTCTGTTTTTGAGGTAAAGAGAGCTGCTTTCAAATCCTGCCTTCACTTCTCATAACAGGGAGACTTGGAGCAAATAATCTCACCTCTCTGGTGCTCAGTTCCCCTACTGATAAAATGGGAGGATAATAAGAAGGACCCTGTTAGTTTGCAGTAAGGATTAAACAAGGAAATACAAATGTGCTAAACACATGAGGATATCATTTAGATGGTGCTACATCAATTAGATGGTACAGGAGTTCTGTCACCTCCTCATCCCCGCATCCCTCCAACCCTTGTCTGCAGTTTCACTTTCTGAGGTTTCAGTTACTGGCAGTCAGCTGCCATCTGAAAATATTATTCACCATAAGATATTTAGAGAGAGAGGGTACTACATAGCTCTTATTACAGTACAGTGTTAACAACTGTTCTATTTTATTATTAGTTACTATTGTTAATTTCTTACTGTGCCTGACTTGCAAATTAAACTTTATCATAAGGCTTGTATGCAGAGAAAGGAAAAAAAAAAACAGTCTACATGGGGTTTGAGACTATCTGAGATTTCATTTCAAGCATCCACTGGGGGTCTTGGAACATATTCCCTGCAGATAAGGAGGGACTGCTTCATAGAGAAAATTACTATGATAGGCGATTTCCCAGCTTACTGACATACTATGATTACTCAATGGGGTTACCCATTTTCCCATGAAATACACACTCTAAAAAGTAATATAACACGAAAATGTATGCACTTTATTTTATGTAATTTGTACCTCAATAAAAAAAATTTTCTACTAAGAAGGACGTTGAAAGTAATATGCTACTGAACATTCAACAAATCAACTGCTACGTGTCAGGTCTCTGTCACAGTTCTGGGGAGAAGTGAAGGCAGTTCTAGAAGAGGTGATTCTCAAATGGGTCCCTCTCTGGGCTACGTGGGCCTGCCAAGTAACCACCATGACAGGTGAGTCTCAGAAGGAAGATGCTTGTCTTTCCCTCTGGGTTGGGCAGTGACCAGCCCTGCCTATATGAGGGGAGATGGAAGGAGAATGGTGTTGGGCACTCATAGGACCCTGGCGTCTGGCCACACCTCTTTCTGTGTTCAACATGTGTTTCCAAAGCACTGGAATCCCAGTGACATTGTTCATTCACACAACAGATGTTAGTGAACACAGTATGGTGTTAGGTGTCAACTGTGGTTTCTACCTCAGGAGACTTACAATCTAATGATGGAGACAAGTGTCAATCAGTGTGACAATGTGAATGAATGTACAAATATAGACTGAAATGAGCAAGGGGTCAGAGTCCTGTAAGAATGTTCAAGAGAGGGGCCTCCCTAATGGCGCAAAGAGTTAAGACGCAACCTATGAAACACTCTGCAGCCACTGCAGCACAAGTTTGATCCCTGGCCAGGGAGCAACACACATGGTGCAGCAGACCTCTCCTGACTCGCCCTCAGCAGTGTATTTCAGTCAGTCTGCCTGTTCTGTTCCCTATTCTGTCTCTGGTGAATCCTCTCGCCACCCATACCTCTGGCCTATACCCCAGCTCTTGTATGTATAAATAAATAAATCTTTAAAAAAAAAAAAAGAATTTCAAGAGAGGAATTTAACAGCCTGCAGGGGCATGGAAGTTTTATCTGAGGAAGTGACCCCGGTGGCTAAGAGCTGAAGGATGAATGGCAGCTACTAGGTGAACAGGAGAATGGGAAAGCTCAGAAAAGGTAGCTGGAGAGGGAGGCAGGGGTCAGGCCATAAAAAGCTCTGAGGACCGTGGCAAGGAACTGAAGTTGAATTTTAAGAGCCAAGGGAAGTCATGGGAAGATTTTTATACACAGTGTAGTTCGGTTTGGAGTGTGGAGAACAGTTTCCCTGGGGCCAGAGTGCAAGCAGTTAAGAAAAGAGGTCTGTGGACCTTCAAGCAAGAGATGATGATGGCATGGAGCTCAGTGGCAGTGGGGATAGAGACAGGAGAGAAACCAGCAGTCTCCCCATTCTGCTCATGGTTCCCCACTTGCCTCCAGATGCTGCCACCCCTGAGATATAGTGAAGTTGATGTAGAATCCCCATTCTCAAATCTGCCAGCCATTCCCAGCTGGGCAATGGGAGGTCAGCAGAACAGAGATACATAAACCTGAGGTGGGAGGACCAGAGCACAAATCTTAATGAATGGACCTCTGGGCTGGGAGGCTCTCCCACCTAGATTTGCTTTTAGGAGGCAAGTGGAATCCTCCCCAGACCCTGTCTTCTCACCACCCTTTCCTTACTCCTAGGATGCAAAATGAAGTATTTTTACAGCCACTCTACTCTGGTCAGTCCCTCAGAAAACCCAAGTCCTATAGAGACCTGGAACACTTGCGATGGTCCAAGCTTTGGTCCCAGGTGCCAGTTCCTGCCTCATGGGACTGAGTGTCTTACTGTGATTCACCTGAGAGCCCCTGTCCTTGTCTGTAGAATGTGGATGATTATTTCTGTCTTGCGGGGTCGCCCAGAAAATGTGATCAGACCATCTGTAAAGCACCAAGCACTATGCCAGACAGAGTGGCAGTTTGATAAATATTTGTGTTATTCATTGTTCTAAGGGTGAAGCTTAGACACAGATTGAAAAAAAAAACAAAAACAAAAACAAAAACCCAAAACACTAGCCTGGGAGGAGGTAGAGAAAAGGAAACCTACACTGTTAGCAGGAATGGAAATTGGTGCAGCTACTATGGAAAACAGCATATAGGTTCCTCAAAAAGTTAAAAATAAAATCTCGATATGATCCAGTAATCCCACTTCAAAGTATTTACCCAAAGAATAGAAAACACTAATTCAAAAAGATATATGTTCATCACAGCACTATTTACAATAGCCAAGATGGAAACAGCCCAAGAGCCTGAGAAAGGTGAATGTATTAAGATGAGGTATGTATACACACACACACACACACACACACACACACACACACACACACAGGAGTACTATTCAGTCATAAAAAAGATGAAACCTTACCCTTTTTGACAACATGGATAAGTTAGGAGAAAGACAAATTCCATATGATTTTACTCATTTGTGAGCTATAAAGACAAAAAGCAACCACACAAACAACTTCTTAGACTCTGACAACAGGATAGTGGTTACCAGGAGCGGGGAAGAAAGGAGGAGGGGATGGGTAGAGGCAGTAGATGGGGAATGGACATTTATGGTGAGCATGGGGTGATGTACAGTTGGTGAGATGAGAAACTGTACATCTAAAATCTATGAAATGTTATAAACTAATGTTCTCTCAATGGAAAGAAAAAGTAAAAGAACAAAACAAACACTGGTCTGTTATTCTTAGCCCCTTTTCTCACCCTGTCACAAACTGCAGAGGTGGTCTTTGGATACTCAAAGACTCAGCTGAGATTCATCTTCAGTTTGTTCTAAGATCCAAGCCCTAATTCTCTCCAACATCTGACAGCATGGGTGCTTGAAGGTGCATTGCAACATGGTGAGCCAGGAGCTGCCTCCATGAGACATAAAACTGCAGGAGCGACAGTAAGTTTATCTGGACTCCCCAAGTTCTCTGCATTCTTCAGTCCTGTCACTGCAGTTCCCACCCTAAAGGGAGTGGGGACCAGCCTGGGAAATGGTGCATCCCAGACAATTAGAGGTCAATTAGGAGGCATGGAGGCCACCAAGGAGAAAGGGTGTTGTTGTGGCTAGTGCCTGGGGTGGCCTCGCTGGGTGGGCACTGGCTTATATAGGACGCGCATTCTTGAGCATTCACAGGTCCATCCTCACATCTACCCTTGCTTCCCTCTGGGAAGAGATTTTGTATACTAAACCATGTCTTTTAAGTTTGGTCCTCACAATGATGATGTGATTAACAGTTAATACCTATTAAGCACTTTGTTCTGTGTCAGGTTCCTTACTAGACACAAAACATGCATTATTTCATTTAAACCTCTCAATAACTCTGGGTATTTCTACTACCCCTCTTTTACAGATGAGAGACGGAAGGCACTTGCCTAAGGTGGCATAGCTGGCTGGAAAAGAACCTTCCCAGGAAGTTGGCCTGGGGACACAGCCTGTGTTCACAATCACTCACCTAATCTCCAATGAAAATCAGCTATTTAGAGCTACAATTTCAGTAGCATTCTACAGTCTTCTACAAAGGGCTGCAGCTTCAACTTTATCTTAATTGATTCTATAGAAACAATGTCATAATTGGTGCCCAGGTTCCCAACGGAGGGCCTGATGGCATACTTTCCTAGAAATGACCGCAATTGCCCTACCTAATCAATTATAAATGGTTTATTTGTACACTGTATAGTAGAAAGCCCTCCAGTGTGTACAGATATCAAATAAATAAAGCAGTACAGGAACCAATCACATATATTTCATTACATGTTATTTATTTAGGTGCTCCTGGGAGGAGAGCCCAGCAGTGCTGAAGGGAAGCTGTGGGACTTTGAGCAAACAGCTGGAAGAATCTTAAGGGGAGGGTCTGAGACCAAGAGCCAGAAATAGTCCCTGAGAAAGGGGTTTTCCCTATTTAAGAGAGAAGTCCTAGATGACAGATGCAGGGGGATACACTCTGGAAACATGGAGGCTGTTGAGAGTGGAATTACTGGGTGACAGGGAGTCGGGCTGCCAAGTAATGACCTGGGCGCAGTCATAGGCCCCTCAAGCCATCACTGGGAAAGGCAGAGGTGGCCTGGGACCTTCCTTCCTCAATACACTTATTTAGCATATCAGTTCCCCTGTAGCACTTAGATCTCCAAGATGAACTGCTTAACAACACATAATTAATGTGTGCTTGTTTGGTGCTGTTTGGTCTCTAGGCCCCTAAAAACAAAGTAATATGCTCAAAACATATCTTTAAAAAGAAAAGAAAAGAAAATGAAAGCATTCTGGAAAGTCCTTCTTCATTTTATGGCAGTAAAGCTCCTAGGGATCTTACCAGTTAGCACCTTAATTACAGAAATTCTCATTTGTATTACATGATTTATTTTAAACCTTGTCTTTCCAAGAGCAAAATCCAGGTTTTGAAGCACCTCTCAAAACAATTTATTCTTCTGTACTGACTAACTGCTTTGGCCGACAATTGTGAATTTATAGTACATTATGCCAAGGCAAAACACTCTAATAACTTAATCAAACATTTAAAATCCAGCTCACAGCCATATAATATACAGAAGCTGTTTTCTCAGCTCTCTCGTTAAAGGTCAATTACCATTTTTATTCCAAACCTCCACATCTTGGAGAAACCACACACACACACACACACACACACACACACACATACACACACACAGCAGAGCAGAAAGAGGGAGAAGGGGAGAGAGAGAGAGAGAGAGAGAGAGAAGAGAGAGAGAGAGAGAGAGAGAGAGAGAGAGAGAGAGAGAAAGAGAGAGAGAGAAGCTTTTTGAGATTCAAAATTTAGCTGGCATATTCCCAGGCTTAGAGCAATTTTCCTTGAATTACTTTGAAATGGGAAAATTGATCCTTCAGATTTTTTTTTTAAAATTCTAGCAAAGCAATATGGCACAGAGAAAGACCATGAAACAAATGAATCTACAGTATTGTTTCTTTTGATACTCAAGGCATTTGGGGGATGAACCAGGAATAACTCTAAACTGGTTATGTGGCTGTGCACCCACAAGCACAGTAATACAGAAATAATAATGATAATTTGCATTGTTTTTGTATGTTAGCCTTTTTAGAGCACTTCAGCAGATGCCTACTTCCGACAATGTCCTCACTCCTACCAGACAGAAAATACTATTACGACTGTTTTTCAGATGAGAAAAACATGCTTCGACAACTTTTGATGGGAGAACAAGAGCAGGAAAGCCATTTGGTAGAGATATCTGGATTGGGGCATGTGACTTGTGAGGGAACAGAGTCAAAAACTAAAAAGTCATTTCGTTTACTTGGTCAAATACATTGCTCTCTTTACTTATCCATCACTCTTGGTGTTGGTGATGATGAAGAAGAGGAAGAGGAAGAGGAGAGTCTGGGAGTATGGTTAAATATACTGAGCGGTGCCCATCCCTGTGTCAAGCACTTCACGAGGGCAATCTCTTGCATGCTCCCTGGAGTGGGTTATGTGCTTTACCTCATAAGTAAACCAAAGTACAGGCTCTCAGCAAAAATTAGAAGACAGAAAGAAAGTGAAACTGTGCTTCCACATGACCAGGGATTAGAGACATGAATTTGCTCCCCCTCAACTGCTCAGGCCTCGGCTTTGCTCGTGGGGAGTATTTTTTTAAAGATTTATTTATTTATACAAGAACTGGGGTACAGGCCAGAGGCGCAGGAGGGTGAAAGGATTCACCAGAGACAGAGTGGGCAACAGAACAGGCAGATTGACTGAAATACACTGCTGAGGGGAGCAGCGGGCAAGACAGGAGACATCTGCTGCGCCATGTGGTTATCTCCCTGGCCAGCCAGGAATCGAACCCGCACCACAGAGCCTGTGGACAGCTTCACAGTGCTGTGCTCAACCTGTTGCACCAATGGGGAGGCGCTGCTCATGGAGAGTATTTTGTTGAGGATTCCCTTGACCAATAATACTTTTAAGTATAAAATGGTTCCTACATATTTTGTTTATGGGTACTAGAATCATTCATGATTTTGAATATCTTCCATTTTTATCTTTCACGCCAACCTTAGAAACAAGCCTCTGTATAAAAGGCAAATCCACTCATCACTTTTTCTCCCCACTTTAAAGATGGTACATAGAGCTATTAGGAAACTTGCCAAGATCTCATGGCTGGAAAGTGAAATTTACTTAGGTTCAAATCTAGGTCTGTCCTAACTTTAGAGTCCATGTTCCTTATTTTTCCTTTTTTAGTGTCTTATTAATGTAATTAATGAGAATTAGTGATAGTTAACAAGTAACACCAAACATAGAATCATTAGTGGGCATATTGCTACTGGTCTAGTCTATCTTTTGAAAGAATTTCAACTACTTCTCATATTAGTACCTACTATGATATAATTTAAAATATCAGGGCTTCTTGAATAAATTAACTAAATATTAAATGTTTTATTCCTTAGTTAATAAAATAGATTCTTCAATTACTTACAGATTCCCAAGATAAAGTTAATACATATATGTGAAATCAAAGAAAAATGACAGAATCTATAAATAGAGTGCATGTTCTTAATCTCCAAATTATTAGGCTAAGTATCTACCATGCACCCGCTCTAACTAAATTAAATGATCAAAGTACCTTTGGAAATTCTATAGTGGTCCTTGCTATTCTTGCCTCCATACTGAATAACCCCAGAATGATCATTCTTTGCCAAACTGGTGACCATGGTTTGTATATCTATGTGGTCTTCAAGACTCAGTTCAAGTGATGCCTCCTCCATACAGCCCTCTCTAACCTCACCATTAGAGGCCATAATTTTCTCTGTACTCAGAATCCCAAGTTCAATATCTACTCTTTTGAAAGGTTTGTGTCCATACTAGCTAAGTAGCAAAAGGGCAAAACTTCCACATTGTCTTCTCAAAAACTCTAGTACAAACATAATACCTAGTACATAGCAGATATCCATTAAATGCTTGTTACATTGAACTACCTAATACACAAGACAGAAAATATTACTGCAGTGACCCTCTGGAAGTGGATAGGCTGTAATAGGGTAGGATGGGAGAAGAAGTTGCTAGAAAGATGTCTGAAATGCCTGTTCTAGAGGTTCCCTCAGGGACATGTTATCAATCTTTTGTTGTTGTTGTTTTTTTATCAGTCTTGCTACAGATAAAATTAAGCATTTACTATGAGCCAGACACTATCTTAAATTCTATGCATATTTGCCATTTACTTTCCCCCAAACCTGTAAGGTAGGTAAGTGCTTTATAAATGAGATGACTGAGGCCCAGAGAGGTTCATTCATTTGTCCTAGGTCAAACAGCAAATAAGTGTAGGACTGATTTGACTCGATAGTCCTTTTGGTTCTCCTATACTTTCTTCCTACTCATCTGCTTAAGTTCCTGCCATCACTAGGCCCATATTCCTAGTTTTGTTTTGAGGGAGCAGACCCATGCTCCAACAAATGACAATTTGAAGATTTAGACCTAAGTCTTCCAATGACCATCTAAGTCCAACAACCATCCGCCTAAATTCTTTTAATGCAATCACAGCAGAAGGACGTTGGTGGGAGGGGCTCATAAAGGATTGGCTTGTGACCAAAGGCCTACAGTCCTGTCTGAGTCTTCAGATGGCCTTGAATATCTTCTCTAGCTTTTATTTTTCTCATATATTCCTAGTTTCATGGCTTCCCTCAGTCTGTCTTGAAGTTCTTAAACCAATGGAGAAAATATTCCAAGAAAGAAGCCATGTTTTGTTTTTATTTTAAATTAGAAATAATAATATAAACCAATTGAAAAATCTGTCAACAGTGGTGTTTCAGTGTTGGCAGCTTATACCCACACAGACAGTTTTTTTTTTTTTTTTTTTTTTTTCAGGGACTTACAGTAATTTTAAGTGTAGACACCGCAGGCGATAAATTTCACAAAGAAAACCCTGTCCATAATTCTGAGTTAATAACAATGATCCGCCTTTGATGTTGATACAAATGAGGCTGAATGAAGAAAAAGCCACATTCATGGGCTGTTTGAGGGTCTGGCCTCTAAATGATCAACTCAAGGAACATAACACATGTTAGTGCTGGCAGGACAATCAGGGTTTTATCTACCAGAAACGAAATGACTTTTGCAAGTAAATATATATATATATATATATATATATATATATATATATATATATATATATATTTCTTTCCCATCTAATTAAAGAGTAAATGTGCACTCTGGGTTGCAGCTGAGGACACAGCCTCATGTTCTCTTTTGTGGAAAACTGAGCTAAAACCAAGGCAACTCAAATCCTTAAACATGGCATGCTGCATTAAAATTTCATGGAAGTAAAATTCCTCTTTAGCCTGTTTCCTGATCTGAAATTAGGGAAACTGGGTGATATATTACCTCCATCTTTTTCAAGTTCCTGAAGATTATGTTTTCTAGCACCTGAGTTCAGGATAGTCCTGGATTCAAAAGTGAGCCTGGCAGTGACTTCAACTTACTAAGTTTCAGTGTTTTGCTTTGTGACCAGGACATGATCATTTTTTTTAAAGATTTTATTTATTTATTTTTGTGAAGAAAAACTGGGGTGGAGGCCAGAAGAACTGGGGTATAGGTACGGGGGGTGAGAGGATTCACCAGAGACAGAGTGGGAAGCAGAACAGGCAGATTTATTGAAATAGACTGCTAAGGGGAGCAATGGGATAGACAGGAGAGGTCAGCTGTGCCATGTGGGTTAGCTCCCTTGCGGGGGATTACACTCAGGCCACTGCAGTGATAGCACTAAGACT